GGTGACAGAACTTGCCTGTTCAGAAGAACATCTTCACACATAGAGGACTGACAATCTGGGACCCTCACTCTCTAAGAGCTGTCCTTTCTGGGGGTCAGTTTTCAATTCTGATTAGATTTTCATTGGGCATCAAAAGGCAGATAAATGAGGTTAAAATACAAAGTGCCAGATGAAACGTTGTAATTGAATGGTGAGTTGGGCTGACGGACGGAATGCTTACTTCCTGTTTCTATGATATGCTGACCTGCCTGACCATATCCCCTGTGGATAGCTGCAGCCCAACCCAGCAGCAGGTAGAGTCAAACTGTAAGCGCCACAAAGATCTTCAAACTTTTACCTATTTTCCTGATGAACCAATCATCCTAGCCATCATCCACAGGCCCCACCCTGCACAGGCTCCACCACTTGCAGGCCCCATCGTCTGCAGTTGCAATGCTCTGTAGAGTCCACCATCTGTAGGCCCCATCCTCTATTAGGCCCATGTCCTGTAGGCTTCATCTTTTGTTGGGGTCGTGTTGTGTAGGCCTCAACTTCTGTTGGGCCCATGTTCTGTTGGCTTTGTCCTCTACTGGGGGCATGTTCTATAGGCCTCATCTCTTGTTGGGCCCATGTTCTGTAGGCCCCATCCTCTATTGGGGCCATGTTCTGTAGGCCCCATCCTCTATTGGGGCCATGTTCCATAGGCCTCATCCTCTGCAGGTCCCACTTTCCTTGATCCCACGTTCCTCAAGGCACCACTCTTTAAACATCCCTCTCTTCAGACATGCCCTCCCCAAGTACCTACTCTCCACAGGCTCCTCTCTCCTATTGGCCGCACCATCCCACTTTGCTCATTGCTCCTCTTGCCCACAACCCCCCATTGCCCCAATCCATCAGTTTTGTACCCCACGCTGCACTGGGGTGATCAGCATTCTCCATGACGGAGGGCGATACAGCCTAGAAAAACCACTATCTTCATTCCATCCTCCAACCTCTCCAAATTTGAAGACTTTCAAAGTATTGAACTCATGGCCCAATGAATTTTAAAGCAGCTGAAAAGATTTAAATATTGTATTTTTAAAAATAAAATTGCATTTAACCAAAAAAAAATCTGTGGATGCTGAAAATCACAAACAAGAACAAAAGCAGGGCTGGCAGCATATGTGGAGAGAAATCAGAGTTAACGTTTCATGTCCAGTGACCTTTCCTTCGAACAGGGTTTAATTTAATCACTGATTTTATACATTAATGATAGTTTGGCCTTTGAGGCCTACCACTCTCAAGACCCAGGCATTAATTAGGAGGTCTCCTGCCAGAAAAACCATGTGAGGTGTTTGAACGCTCAGATCAAGCACCAGCTGCTGAATTTCCAAATGGGAGAAGATTTTCTCTTATCAGGGAATGAGCTCAGATTGTTCAGAGATGCACAAAAGCACAGTTAAAACCCCAAATCTCACTTTCTGGTCTGTTTCTCATCTAAAATACTCGTAACTGCTCAACTTCAATGACTGTCTTGGATCTTTATTGAATTAAGGTTGGATGCTTGCAGTGAGTGCCACATGGTAGAGATCACAGGAATATGGCAAGCCAGGAGGCACATTAATACAGTATTGCATTTCTATCTCAAACGCACTTCAGCAGCAACTGTCATTAAAATGTCTGAGTGGAAGTGAAACGAAGTATGTTTGACACAAATGGATTTTGTTTCTCCTTGACTGAAGCATTGGATAACTTGATACATTATATTTGCAAACTGCAAGATGATTTGATATAATCTATATTGAAATGGATCTCTCGTGAGTGGCTAACAACTGTTCCAGTCATTGCTAACTCCTTAATCCACATCTTTTCGAATTGTTCCCAATCTACAACCTATAAATAGAACATTCTGTCCATCCAACGGATATCACATGAGCCTTCTCGATCTCGACTTGGGTTAACTCACCCTGATCCAATCATCAATCTGTTCTGTTCTCCCTTACTGGTTCATTGATCCTACCCTCCAATGTTTCAACACTCTGCCTCAAACCATGAGACCAAGTTTGTGTTTCATATTCTCATTGCTCTGTGGACAGTGAAATCTATCAGAACAGTTCCTGTAGTCCAGAATTTTGGGGTCTGAGGGACATTAAATTGTCAAAAATTTGCAAGGTACATCAAAGACAAAACATTAAGTTTTCAAGAGTTAATTTGTTTGCTTACAGAGATTTATATTTATTAAAAATATACATCCATTGGAAAGTCAGTGATAACAGGTCAGTTTGCAATGAGAGAGGTTACCTGCACACAGCTGCAGAGTCTGTCCCTGGCACTAGGTCACCCATTTATATCCCCAAATCCCATGACCTCTCTCTACTCAACCGCTCCTTTATTCTCAGAAACTCTCTCAAGTATTTGAATTTAATGCAGCAACTGAACAGTGTTTCTGTGCACAGATTGGGTTTAGACATTATGAAGAATGTATGAATGTTCACATGCTCCAGGAGAGAAGCTTCCCTTGGCTGGAGGTCTAGAACTGGAGGGCATAGGCTCAGAATACTGGAGGAGGGTACGTAGACTGAGATGAGGAGGAATTTCCTCCTCTGGTGAGGGTGGTCAGTCTTGAACTTTCAACCCCAGAGGGCTGTGGAGGCACAGTCATTGAGGGCATTCCAGGGATCGATACATTGCTAATTACTCTTGGCATCAAGAGATAAAGAGATGGCATGGGAATATGGCATTGAGGAGACGATCAGACCATGATCTAGAGTAGTGGAGCAGACTCACGGAGCTGAATGGCCTACACTTGCCCCTATTTTGTTATGTATGTTGTGAGCTTTAGCTTTTTGATAAGACTATAATAAACAGGAGTGGGAGTAGGCCATTCAGCCCCTTGAGCCTACTACACCATTCAATTAGATCATGGCTGATTTACCCCAGGGTTCAACTCTTCCACAACTATCTGGGGTGGAGAATTCCCAACATTTCCAAAACATCAATGGGCTCCTGGCTCAAGTAGCAGTTCCAGCCACTTTTGCTTGAAAAGGTGTTGCTCGTATTCGTAAAGATGGATAATTCTGGTATTGTAGGGTACAGAATACACAGAGTACAGAATAGAGCGTAGAATAAGCAGGATACAGAATACAAAATGTTCAGAATGCATAAGGTACAGAATATATATGGTACCTACTGCATGTATAATGTCATAAATTCAATCCTACTGCACAGAAAGAGCCCATTCAGCCAAATAATATTAACTGTGGTTTGGAATTAACTTTTGGTCACATGGATTTCCCAGGATTCGTTTCCTGACATGTTTTTGGGATTTGCTTCTCTCTTGGGAGAAGACAACAGCTCAGAAGGACTAATTTCGAACACAAACTGTTCCAAGCTTGAATCGCTATTCAGGAAGTCACCACCACCCACCACCCCCACCACCCCCGGTAGTATACTTTATTCAAAAGAATACATTATCCTGCACACTACTAAAAGTGAAAATGCAGTTTGAGAATGCAGTTTCACTCTCCAGAACAAACTTGCTCAGACATTAGTGTCCCTTTACCCCAACATTCTTTGACTGTTAATGACTCCCTTCCATTGCTAAAACGTGCTGGTAGAATCCTGAAATCAGATCCTCGGCAGATTCTGGCACTTTCGCTCTGACAGCCCCAGCTGATGAACCTTGTTATATGAGCTACAACTCTCCTGAAAAATCCTCGCTACCAGATTCACGCGGTGTGCCAGGGAGCAGACTGCCAGACAGTGGAGACAAACTTTGACACGCATGAGATTTTCTCTCCAGTTTCTGGAGCTGGGTTCCTTGTTTCCCACTGGGAGGGATGGAATGCATTCCAGGAACCGTCCTCCCATCCAAGAGTTTTAAAAGTAAACAGTTTGATTAATGGGCTTTGTCATCTAAAAATGTTGCATGGCTGTGGAATCTCGCCCCTGATTCCACATGATCCGAGTGGGTTAGACTAATTCCTCTTTCCTCAGGGTTTGATTATTATCAAGTTCAATTGTTCACACTCTCCAATTGCCAAACTATGGAGACGGGCAGATTCTCTCTCAACACTAAAAGAAAATCAACTCTTCCTTGTAAGAACAAATGTAAGTGGCGGAATGCCAGACTAGGTTGAGTGCAGGTTAGCAGCTGGATTGGTTCCAGGTCAGATGGCAGTTACTGCTGGAGTTTAACCAGGTAAGTGCATTCTGCTGGATTCAGACCAACAGCACATTCCCCAACTGGAATCTGTCCTGCAGGAAGATCCGTAGCTGAGGACGACAATCACAAAACCGACTGATGGCTGTCCTCCTGGTCCCAAAGGTATAACTTTTCATAGACAGGAGTTTCTTCATAACTACTGAGTCCACTTGTCTCTTCCTCCTGGGCAGCTGGGCCTTATGGATCATGTAAAATCACAATCTGCTGCCGTTGTCCTTCAACTGGACACAATCCCAAGTCTCAACCAATCCCTGGCCACCCAAACCTGACTCAATGTCCTCCCTGAGATCCTCCCACCTGGACACTGTCACAGGACACTGGTCCCTTTGGAAAAAGCCATGGGAAAAGTTGAAACTGCAGAATCTGACTAACGACATCCTCCTCCAGGAGCACTGGGACTGAACGGGACAGTCAACACATCCCGTCCCTTCTGTGAAAGTCCGAGAATGAGAAAAGGAATGAAAGTAAACATTAGAGCAAAGATGAGAACAAATTCTTTCCAGAGGGCGATTTATAATCACCTGGGTGGGTGGGTGGGGATGAGTGCAAGGAGCAGAGCTGGGAAGGTTTGTCACAGGAGAAATGAACTTTAATAGAACCAGTGACCTTTCCTCATCCCTAATCAGCGGCACTTTCTAGAAAACGTCCTGTTCAAAGATGGCAACTGTGAAAACTTCCAACTCGTTGCTCAAACTAGGGTCAAATTCAACTCATTTCCAGAAACACTTGTGTTTTGTTCAGCTTGGCTCTCACACACTTGCCTTGGATTCAGGTTGTGGGCTCGGATCCCACTTCAGACGTTAAAGAACACACTTACCGGGACAAAGCTTCCCCTCTCCTGTAGCATTGTCGAAAGTCACTCTCCCCGTTCTGGTCCGCGGGCGTGGGCTGTGTGTAAATATTGGTTTATCTTTTTAAAATAGAAATATCCATTTCGTATAAATGTATTTATATCAATGAGCTTCAGAGGCAATTACTTCAGAAGATGTAGTGTGTGGGGGGGAGGGAAGGGGAGTATGCGAATTAAAGTCTTTCATGGCTGTAAAAAATTGAAAAGAATTACTTTTTATTTACAACTTAAATGTAGCAAATCAGACTCAATGTGAATAGAATAATATGCAAAACAACCAGAGAAGGAAAATTCATGTGGAACAGCTCAGTGTTTGTAGAGGCTGGGCAGGCGGCCAGTTCAGAGCAAGAGTTGTTAAATATAGCTCTCAGTGTTTCCACAGACACACACACACACTGCTCTCTGCTTCTGTCTTGTGTGACAGTAACTGAAGAAGGTTCTGGCCTGATCCCAGAGAACATTGTGTTCTGGCAAAGACGCGAGCCGTGATGTCAATTCAGGCTGGAAAACAGATCCAGACAGCGAAGGCAGCCAGTGACTTAGTAAGCAGACTGAAAACATACACACACACACATACACACACAGACACACGCACAGGCACACATTCTCTCTCACTTACTCACTCATTCACACTCTCACTAGACTGGTAATTCAGATATACAGACTAATGTTTTGGGACCGGTAGGATTTTTAAAAATCTGGAATTAAAAATACAACTAGCCTAATCAAACCATATAACCAATTGCAATCGTTGTAAAAACCTATCTGGTTCGCTAATGTCTGTTAGGGAAGGAAATCTGCCATCCTTACCTAGTCTGGCCTACATGTGACTCTAGACCCACAGCAATGTGGTTAATTCCTGGTGTACGTTCCTACTGATTTCTCCCACCACTGCCCAAACCTCTAAACCTGCACACCGCAGCGCCGGCTCAAACCGGGAGTTAATGCGTCCGCTCACAGACTCTGGCAGTAGCTGTGCAGCCGTACGGCTGAGCGGCCAGAGGGAATATTGCGCTTAACTGCCCCCTGAAATGGTAGAGAGGGCCATCTCGGGATGGGCAACAAAATGCCTGCTTTGCCAAAGATGCACACATCCCATACAAAATCAAAAACAACGGCACCCACACACCAAACACAGATAAACTCACACTCACAGAAACACACATTCTCTCTGGCAGATACTCAAGGTGCAATTTTCCCGTCTCTGGAGGTGGCAAAAGAGAAATAATTGGGCGAGTTGTCCATGAATGTACTCTCCACACCCCACCCCTCTGCACCTCTGCAATTATGAGCAGAGCAAGAAGGTCCACCTTACCCACTTGCCAACATTTAAGGGCCTAAAGTGATCAATTAGTGACCATTTAAGGGACTCAGTCAGTGCACGTTCCCCATTGCCACCTTCCTGGCAAGTGAGAAAGATGACTAGTTTCCTGACTGTAAATCCTGGGTGTCTTACTTACTGGAGTGAGTCAGTGGCCTTTCTTTGCATCAGTCTGGGAGTGAACGGAGTCATATTTGGTCTGTGAAAGCCATCCCTGACCTTGCTTCAGAATGGCTGCTGCCCTCTCCCTGCAATCCCCTACACTGCATGAAAAATAAAAAGAGCAGTTACCTTCTCACCCCTAGATCTCCTGAGGAGTAGGACACAAGTAGTGAACTTTAGCACCCACAAGCTGCTGGCCTCTGATTAGCCAACAGCTTCCAATGACCCAGGGTAGGGTGAGAAGCTTGGCCCCACTTACCTGTCAGCTCTGAATGACCTGAACTGGCAAGAGACCTGATCTGCTATTTTACTGGCAATTACCACCATCAACTGACTCATGTTTGTCGCTACCAAACACACTCACACCCACCCTTCAAAATGATATGGGAAAATTCCACCCTCACAGTCACTAATACATTTACACCCTCACACACTCATTCTCATAAACACACAGTCACACACAAAAGCACATTCTCATAGATACACAAACAAATACGCACAGACTCACAAAGTGCATTCCATTACACTCCTGACATGTGCGTTCAGATTGTGTTCAGGCTTTGTGGAGGTAGGAAGTGATTTATTCGCTGCAGTATTCCTAGCCTCTGACCTACTGTTATATCCATAGTATTTATAATGGCTAGCCCAGTTCAGTTTCTGGTCAATACTAACCCACAGGATATTGATACTGAGAGATTCAGTGATGGTAATGCCATTGAATGTCAAGGGCCAATGATCAGATCCCTTCAATTGGAGGTGGTCATTGCCTGGCACTTGTGTGACGCAAATGTTACTTGCCACTTGTCATCCCAAACCTGGATATTTCTAAATTGTGCTGCTTTTCGACATGGACTGCTTCAGTATCTGAGAAGTTGTGAATGGTGGTGATCATTGTGCAATCATCGGCGAACATCCCCACTTCAGACTTTATGATGGAGGGAAGGTCATTGATAAAGTAGCTGAAGGTGTTGGGCCTAGGACACTACCTCGAGGAACTCCTACAGAGATGTCCTGGAGCTGAGGTGACTGACTTACAACCACCACAGCCATCTTCCTATATGCCAGGTATGGTACCAACCCACGGGGAGTCCTCTACCAGGTTCCTGTTGACTCCAATTTTACTAAGCTTCCATGACAGTGCACTTGGTCAAGTGCAGTCATTATGCCAAAGGAAATCACTCTCACCTCAACTCTGAAATTCAGCTTTTCTGTTGTTTGATCCAAGACTGTAATAAGGTCAGGAGCTGATTGATTGTCCTGGCAGAACCCAAACTGAGTGGCAGCGAGCAGGTTGTTGCTGAGTGAGTGCCAATTGATTGCACTATCAAACCCCTTCCATCAGTTTGTGAATGATTGACAGACAGGTAGGGTTGGATTTGTCCTGATTTTTGCAAACCTGGGCAGTTTCATAAGACTAAGAAATAGAAGCAGGAGTAGGCCATTCAGGTCATCAATTCTGTTTAACCATTTGATAAGATCATGGCTGATCTGATGTGATCTCAACTCCACTTTCATGCCCTTTTTAATTAAAAATCACTCTAAAACAACCTCAAATCTATTCAGTGACCCATCCGCCACTATTCACTCGTGTGGAGCCTTTGGAAGTCTTACAACCTCTAAGAGAAGAAATGTTTCCTCTTCTCTGAGTTAACCAGGAGAACCCTTCACTTGAAACTGAACCCTCCAGTTCTAGACAATCCCACAAAGGAAATATCCTCTGAGCATCTAACCTGTCAAGTCATTTCAGAATCTTATATATTGCAATATGATCACATCTCATTCCCCAAAACTTCAATTAGTGTAGTCCCAACCTTCCCAACCTTTCTTCATAGACAAACCCTTTCATCCCAGGAATCGACTGACTGAACCCTCAATGAACAACAAACAATACAATGTTATACTTTATTCAGAGAAGAGACCAAATCTGTAAACAATACCTTAAGTGCAGTCTCACCATTGCCCTGCACAGTGTACTAAGATTTCCCTATTTTAACATGCTATCCTCTTTGTAATAAAGGGCAATGTTCCATAAGATATAGGAGCAGAAGTAGGCTATTTAGCCCATCCAGTCACCATAAAATGGTCATCAAGTTTGCAATTGGTCATGCCAATGTAGAGGAGACTGAATTGTGAGCAGAGAATACAATAAACTACATTGAACATACAAATAATTCACTGCTTCACCTAGAAGGTGTCTTTAGCGCCTTGGACAGCGAGGGGGAGGTCGGAAAGAGGCAAGAGCTGCATCTTCTGCAATTACATGGAAAGGTATTGTCTATGGAGGGAAAGATGCTGTGGATGATGCTGGCTCCAGAACATGTTGTTCTAAGAAACTATCCTGAAAATATTCTATGAACTCCTCATCTGGGTTAATTTTGCTTTTGAGTTCTGGAGAGGGGTCACTGGAACTGAAACATTAACTTTGCTTTCTATCCACAGATGTTGCCAGACCTGCTGAGTTTCTGCAGCAGTTTCTGTTTTTATTTCAGATTTCCAGAATCTGCAGTTCTTTGTTTTCTTTCTTACCTTTGCTTGTTTGCCTTTTCCAGTGAATGTGTAGATTAAAATTTCCCATGATTATCACCAGACCTTTCTGACGACTTCTTATTTTTTCTCTCCTTATTCCCTGCCCTATCATGTGGTTACTATTAGACTGTCTTTGCATCACTTCCACCAGTGACTTCCTGCCTTTATCATTTTCATTTCTACCCAAACTGTTTCCACATCTTGATTTCCTGACCTTAATTCACCCTCTTTATTGTGCTAATACCATCATTAACTAAGAGAGTCACCCCTCCAACATTCTGTATTTTCTTGTCATTCATAAGTGTCCTGCACCCTTAAAGGTTCAGGTCCCAAACCGTGTGATTCTGAATGCATGTTTCTGTAATGCCTTTCAGGTTGTACGTGTTCATTTCTATTTGCACTCTCATTTCATCCAGTTTGTTTGGAATGCTACATATATTCAGATACAGAGCCTTTAGTTTTATGCTTTTACTCACTTAGTGAATTCTAGTCTTATCTATTAGATGGCTTTTAATTTTGTACTGTCTATCCATTTCTGTCATGGTTTTCTCAAATTTGATCCCTTGCTTCCAGCATTGAGTCCTCCCCATCCCCAGTTATGCAGTTGGCAAGAATACAGCTTCAGCAGAGTTGAGGTGGAGACCGTCCATTAGCGCAGATCCCCTCTACTAATAGGTCAAATATCACACAACACCAGGTTATAGCCCAACAGGTTTATTTGAAGACACAAGCTTTTGGAGTCTCATTCCAACACCTAACAAAGGAGTGACAGTCTGAAAGCTTGTGTCTTCAAATAAACCTGTTGGACTATAACATGGTGTTGTGTGATTTTTGACCTAGTCCACCCCAGTCCAACACCGGCACCTCCACATCATCTCTACCAATAGGACACTCTTGTCCTGTCACACTCAGGTTATTATTGCCCCAACTGTTACCTTGCACTATTGTGATGTTCTTTGTCTTATTGCTTCACATGAACCTTTGTCCCGTTTTCTAGTCTTAAGTCCTCTTCTAAAGCACCAGTTAGATGATTCTCCATCACAGTTGAGGTGAAAGCTATCTCAACAGTATAGCTTCCTCTTTTCCTGGACCTGTGCCAGTGCCTTATGAATCCAGATCTATTTCTCTCACACTAGTCTTTGAATTACACATTCAAATCTCTGATCTTATTGACCTCATGCCAAATTACACTAGGTTCAGGTTTGGGGTGTAAATCAGAGATTATTGCCTTT